GCATGGGCTATGGCACTGGCACAATTACATAATATTTTTGCTTGAGGTACCTATGCGTGAAATTAGTTTAGCCTAAGCTGCTCGCTGTGGTACCGATTTGGAAAGGTGTCATATATGGTTCCCATGTGGCTGGGCTGACTCAGGCCTTAGCCTTTCAAATAGCGCTCTTTTGCTGCTCTCCTAATTAAATGGTGCTCTTCTCACCTCCCTCTTTGTGAAGCGCTTCAGCAGGTAAAGAGCAAAGTGTTTTACTTCAATAAATCCCGGTCATGTGGAGGGTGTTGGTGCCTGCATCATTAGAGAAAATTGACTTTGGTGGATGCAGAGGACAACAGCAGCAGAGGGAAGTGCCCCCTGAAAGCAATAACCAAAACAACCTAATGAGCTTTAGGAAGGAGCATGAGATGGATGTTATTTAGCTGCAATAGCTCATGTCAGCCTAGGTGTCTCAGAACAGATTGTTCCCCTGAGGCATCTTATAGTTTAATCTAAGTCATAGATAGGCTTAAATCCTCATCCACTGAAACCCATGCAAAGCTTTCCATTGGCCTAAATGACACTTGGATCATGGACTTAGTAACAAATTAACATCAACTGTTAGACTCTGTTTTGAAGAGTCTTTAATTTCTTTAATTTCTTTCATTGTTTCCACTACGAGTAGGCATTAAAGCTAACATCTTCATTACAGTGAGGATTAAATAAACACCTTGGGCATCGCACCATTAAGATATCTGCTCTACTCTAAAACCCCAAGCAGGCTTTGCAGGGGGAAGAATATGTATTATTTGTACTTTTGTGGTGTCTAGTGAATACAGCATTGATGAAGTAAGTACTGATGTGTTTGCTTTCATGCTGTATGCATTGAGGATATATTTTTCAGTGTTTGGCTGATTGCTGATGCCTTTCAGCTTCACATGCTACACCTACAAAATTGAAGAGTTCTTTTAAATCACTCTGTACAGATATCTATTTTGATAATTTGAAAAATAATAGAGGTAAAATCTAGGCTGTGGAAATGCTAGAAGAAAAACTCAAATTATCTTTCTCAACCAGTGCAATGTTTTCAATCTATGCCTGAAAAAATAGTCCTGTGTATGCCTCCAAATTACAGAATTAACTTCTTGTTTAAACCATGCATGGAAACTTCAGGCTCAAAAATAGTATTTTCAGGAAGAAATATGCACTTGAGAATAGAGAATTCCACTGGCAGGGCTATCTCAGTCTTAGTATTAGTGTTGCTTCTACGAATGGAACATGGCTCACTTTGCAGGATATCCGCCTTTCAGAATTCAGTTCACAGTTCCTTTTTCTCAAGAAACAAGAATGAAGGCTTTTTTTTTTCTTTTCTGCCAAGGTGGAAAGGTGACTGTTATTTTGTAGCTTTTATTTATATCTTAATCATAGAATGACTTTTAGGAGAACACAGAAAAGGTAGAGAAAGTCTTAGACAATTGAGATTTTTTTTTTAGGATATCAAAAATTGCATTGGCTTAAGTGCTGAATTTTTCCTAACTCTATTAAAAGGAATTTGCAAAGAGTATTTTGGTCCTTAACACATTTCCAAGTAAATCCCATTTAAGAGCCTGAAAAATTGGTGAGCCATTAAAAACTGAAATCCAAAATTACCTCTGTCATATAAGTCCCCAGGCCTGAGGATATAGCTGATCTGCATTCTCTTCAGCGTAACAAAACTTCAAGATCATTTAAGTCTTGTAACAATAGAAAATTAATTATGAGGATCAAAACAGAATTTTCTCCCATTTTCCTTAGTCATGGGACTTTAGCAGGTTCTGGTTGAATTAATGATTTTGATTTTTTTAGCTTTGTTTCAAAGGAAGGAAAGACTGTCAAATTTTTCTTGATAAAGATTATCAGGTAAACTCTATTAAAGCATGTGAAAGTGCTTATTAGAGATCAGAAGACAGGGATGCAGAGAGCTGTGGATCAAAATCATTCAAATAACTGACTTGTGTTGTTACCTCTTGTTCTAAAGCAAACTTCATTTTGCTTGACTTCTGGAGGCGTTAATAAACCTGCTGGATCTTCCTTTGCTTACCTGAATGAGACTGATTTTGCTTAGTTTTATTTGTGAAGTTCCTAGACTGACAAATCCGGATGTAGAAAATGTGCAAACAAGACTGGTCAAACTGAGTTTGAGATATATGAACATGAATTTACAGGGACATTGTTAGGAGCAGGCTCTGCAGTATGTTTTTATAAAAGTTTCCACTGATTAGGTGATAGCAAGAAAATGTGAAAGATTTTGTACTAAACATTTCTGATGCAGGTTTGAATAGAAGTAGCTATTTCCTCCACTTAAACTTGTGTAAAGGCCATGCATGGGTTTCACTTAATAGACTGGGCATCATTCCTGAAATGTTCTGTGTCAAGTGCTGGTAGGGAGTTTATGAAATCGAATTCCCAGGAGCAATCAGCCTTTGATGGACTGGTGAACTGATGAACCAGTTATGCAAAAATGGAGGGGGTAGGAAAGTGCTTGCAGTTTGCCCCTACTCATGTTGCTGGCCATGGAGCATATTTACTCTCTTGCTCTGGACCCAAACTCCCCTTTCTGCTTTAACCTCCACACTCTTGGGCACTCCTGATCAAATAACTTTGAATTATTCATTCTGAAAGTTATTCCTACTCCTGTCTCTCTTGACTGAAGAAGTAGGTAATTATAGACAAGAGGGAAACTTCCCATTAAGTTGAGGAACTCTTTCAAAAATTCAGCCTTCCAGGCCAAAAAGAGGACCTCTACAAGAGGTGGAGATCCCCATGGCTCCTTACAGACCAGCGAAAGTGTGTCTTGTTAATTGGCCTATGGGACAATCTCAGAGCTTATCCTTTCTCTGCCAGCTGTCAGGATTTCCTAAATCGGCTGAGTAATCCAGCCACAGGCATCAAGGGGCTATGCAAGGAGAGGAGGGTGGAAAATAAGCCAGTTCTAAGTTAGATGCAGAAAGGTTCATAACCTTCACTGAAGATTTTGTCTGCGCTCTTGATGTCTTTAACATCACTCCCATGTGTTTTGTGACTTTTATTTTATAGGTACATATCCTCTCCCAGAAAAGTCATTAGAAGTTTTTCATCCATTCTAATGGAAATAGGAATGAACTATCATCTCACAACTGTTCATTCAGTCTTTCTTTGCCCAGTTTGCTTTACTGGTAGAGAAACATTAAGTCACACAGCGTGAGGTGATTATCTTGACAGGGGATGCTTGGGCAGGAGTCACTGGGGGCCTAAGGAGGGAGCTCTCTGAGAATCGAGCCCTTTTTGCCTTGCCTTCTCTGACATGACCACAGGACTGGGAACCGGAGCCCAAACAGACCGTGCCAAATACCCACCACCTTCTGAAGAATTTGATAAGGCTGCAAAAAAATGGCTTTTCCAGCCTAGTTGCTGACTTAAAGAATGAATAGAGAAGGAAGATGCAGCCAAATTTTACCTTTGTTTTTCTTTTTACAAAAAAAAAAGAAAGAAAAGAAAAGAAAAGAAAAGAAAAGAAAAGAAAAGAAAAGAAAAGAAATAACTAAATGAATACATTTTTGGGGGAAAAAAAAAGAACTGAGTACAACATCCATTCAACCTAAAGGAACATTTTTTTTATTTGGAGACAGCCTTAGGGAAAACAAATAAATGGAGAGTTCCCTATACATAATCACTAGAAAAGATAGTGGCATGTGCTGGTTTTAGTTCAGGAGCTCAGTAGTCAGCATACACCCAAGCTAGAGGGGACCAGGTCTCCCATCTGTCTGGGAGAATTTGATCCCATACCTCTGGCTTTCCAAAGGGAGAGCCTGCCCCTTGGGGAGGAGTGTGCTCCCCTCAGACTATCCCAGGAGTTCAGTTCTGCTGATAGATACAGATCGATAGACAGACAGTATAGATGGGATCAGAAATAGGGATTTCCTGTCTCAGTGAGTGAGCTGACCTTCATGCCAGTGAAAATCTGTCATTTCTGTTTCAGTAATGATTTAACTATTTTATATTGTGTGAACCAGTTAGATAAGGAGGGACTGAAGGAATCCTGTCTCTAGTGTCTGTAGCCCTACCTCCTGCTGGCTGCACTCTGCTTGGTACCTCCTTAGAAAGATCAGCATCTTCCAGGAGACCCTGAAAGTATCTGTTAACCTAAGTCTGTAGTTAGAGAGTTGATGAGCTAACTTCAATGGTCTTGAAGGCTTAAAATACTACCTTGGCAGTACCTTTAAAGTAGTATCTCATACCAAGGCTGTGATGGGGTTGGAAGTGCAAGGAGGAAATAATTAAGGCATGTCTAATGAAATAATGTTAGACAGAAGCTGTCAATTTTTTGTACTTTAGTCCATATGTCAGGACCAGCTGTGTTTCTTCACCTCATGAATTACAGACCAAAACCTTCCGCTATGTAATGCACCAGCATTGACCCCAGCAGCTTCTGCTCACTCTCCTATAGCCCCAGAGAACCCATAAGAGCACGTACGAGCAGAGCCCTGCTCGAGGCACCCAACCTGGCTGTCCACGGGGCTGACTTCAGTGCTTGTGAGAGGTGCACCTCGAGGGAGAGGCACTTCTGTGCAGCCTTTTCCTGTGTTGCTTCTACACGTGTCTGTCTCTAGCAAGGTTCAGTTGCACTTAAGTTTTCTTTGGTTTTGTATAAATTTTAAATATTGCTCTTAATCCCAAGGACGTGTCTCTTTCTGACAAGGAGGGGGATACAAATATCTCTTCATCATATATATTTCCTCTGACTTTATGGAGAGCCTACAGAAGGGGCAGTATTTTCTCTAAAAAAAATGAAGACAAATTCCATGTGATTGGACTGTAACAGATTCAGTCCTTAAAAGTCCTTGAGTTGGGATTAAACAGTTGGATTATACTCATTACCCCTCTGTTCTTTTACTAAAATGTAGCTAAATAGATTGCCTTTTGCACTGGATGTGGGAAGACGCTGCCTGGCTCTCACTCACTGACAAGTGGCTGATTTGTTTTCTTTTCTTTCCTTTTGCAGGGAAGGCTGTTTCTCCCCCATCAGTCCAGAGGATTGCCCCCTTGTGCAGTCTTTCATGTGCCACAACCGAATGTTTATCCTCGATGGCCACGTGCAGCTGAAGACAGGCCTGCAGACCCAGGAACGACACCTTTTCCTTTTCACCGACCTTCTGGTTGTTGCCAAGTCCAAGTGAGTATGGCATCCCAGGCAAAACTTCCATAGAGCAGCCCTTCTCAGCAAAGTATAATACAAACTTAATGCTTTTTTTTTTTCCAGATTATTTTTTCCTAAAATCACAGGTAAGCTTTTTATTTGACCCATGAAAGATGGATGCTTTTGAAAACCCCATAGCCCAGATATCCAGGACACAAGATACTAGAGCTGTAGCAAATAGTCTGTTTCTTTTTTAAAATATTTCCTAGATAGTCTGAATTTTTTAATATTCCCTTCCCTGGGAATCCAAGTATCAGAAAAGACTCATCAGCGTTGAGCAGTCCCCTTTCTGCTGCCTTGAACTGGCAGTTCTGGTTTATCCAGATCATTGTCAGCCCTCGCAGTGGATGCACCATGGGTGGCTGTGTCACACAGAGGTTACAGGCTCTACCACTTGTCTGCTTTGATGCACTCCAATGGAGAGGAGCTGTATGTATGTAGAGATGGCAAGCAGTGCTGCAGAGGCTGTTTCTGTGGGCTGTACAGGGGGAGCAGGGGAAGGGGAAGGGAAGCAGTGTGGAGCAGTCTGGGTAGTGCCGTGGGTAATCAGGCTTGCTGCTGAGCTCTGATTATTCACTCTACCATTCACAATTAAATCAGATTTACAAGCTGTGCCTAGCAGGCCAGCTTCATGCAGCATTTGTGGTTTAAGGCAATTTTAGAGGGTGCTTTCACTTGCTGTTATGGATAAAGGGGAAATAATAACAAAAAATCCTGATGTGGCTTCATTCTCTGTTAGGCACAGCGTTCGTGGTGTCACAGGGTGGGCGATCTCAATGTGAATCTTGGGCTTTTGCAATGTGTCTTCTGGCTTAAGCAGCTGTCTCAGAGGCTGCTGGGAAAAGCCAGTATAAATCCCTGTTTTCTGTAGAAATCTGAGCTGTGTCCATTTGAATCACACACAGTAAACATCCAGCCCCTCACCCCCACCCTCCCAGCTGAGCTCCTTCACTTTTTATGGTGTGGCAACATTGAGGATATTTTACCCAAAAACATGTTCTACTACTGGTGAGGTGGCAGAAAGAAGGATCTTTACGTTTGGTTAAATCCTGCTATTTTACCAGCAGTAATAGTATTGTTACTGCATTTATGTTTGTGCCTGTCTTTAGGATGGAAACCTTAATTTAAGGTTTCAAACATTAGATATTTGCATCTGATTAGCTTTCTAGGCTCCCTTTATAGTCACTGAGAGACAAACTAGGATCTTGCTGTAGGCAACTCACCTTGACCTATAAAGGTGTCAAGGGAGGATGAGGAGATCCATGCTCTGTCCACTGACTAAAATGGGGGCATAGCCTGGCTAGCTTGTGCATAAACTCCTGAATTTTAGAAGAGTAAAGGCAGGTGAGAGGAATGGAGCCCTGGTCAGCACACTGAGCAGAAGCAATGTTAGAGCCCCTGGGTGAGCTGTACATCACTGCATGTTTGATTGGGACCCAGAGGGACCATTTGCACAGGAAAGCACCACTCTGTAACTGCTGCAAAATCTCATTCCCAGGGAGTAATAATGTGGGAGAGAGTCTGCAATTTCTGAAGAAGGCAGAACAGAACAAATTGTGCTTCTGCATGTGAAAAAGGGGAGGAGAAACAAGTGTTTGCTAGAAATGGTAAAAAGAGCATTTTAAATGATGTTACTTTGTGTATTTTACAGAACTGATTGGGTTGTTCTCTCTACAGCTGCCTTGTCAGCAGTTAAAGCATCAGAGCTGTCACTAATGAATACTATTTAAAAATCAGCATTTTCAAAAGATATCATGTAATAAAATACCATTGCTGGTTCCTAGAGGAAAAATCTGAATGGTGTGCATTGCCCTTCA